TTCAAGTCAAAGTCAATAAATTCAGGACTCTTGACAAGACGAATAAAATAACATAGCCTACAATTTTGTGCAGACTACACTTTTATTTGTTAGCCTATCTCTCTTTCTTTCAGTAGCGGAAATTTAAATGTGAGATTCTGGAAACGAGATCTAAATTTAGCGGAACGGTCGGGTCGGGAAGAAAATTATTCTATTCTATTCTATCTACATATTGGTCGCAGCGACGTACCAAATAACGTTCCAGTGACATAACTTTGTGATTCCCATATTTGTCGTGGCGACGTTATAGTGGTGCGTCGCTGGAACGTGGTGAGTCCCAACGACCAAACTGGCACGTTGTGAGGACGTGACCAGAGCATGTGAGCGGAGCGGAGGGGAAATATTTCCTTAAAGGGGTCATATGATGCTTTTTTTAAAGATCATTATTTGGTGTATTTGGTGTAACAGAATATGTTGACATGCTTTAATGTTCAAAAAACACATTATTTTTCAAATAGTGTACATTATTGTTGGTCCTCTATGCTCCGCCTCTCTCAAACGCTTCGTTTTCTACAAAGTCCCTCCTTCCGACAAGCGCAGTCTGCTCTGATTGGCCAGCTGACCCAAGCACTCGTCGGAAATGTAACGCCCCTTACCATAATCGCGAGCTTCATCTTTCAAAATAAATGTAAAGACAGAGCCCGAAAGGGGAACAGAGTCGCGCACACACACACACACACGATGCGCAAAACTCCGCATTTGAACAGTCAATAGCAAATACTTAAACTAATAACAAAACAGTAGCTGATTCAGAAGCGCCAGATTGTCATAGCAAAGTCAGAATTACCTCCTCTCCTAGGTTCACGAAACGGTCGTCCATAAAATGCATTGCTGTTCTGTTGTAAGTAATCTTAAAGATTCCTAAATGCATCTACTTTCGGAAGGCAAAATAAAGTGCTTTTGCTTTACGAAACGGTCGTCCATAAAATGCATTGCTGTTCTTGCTGTTCTGATCTTAAAGATTCCTAAATGCATCTACTTTCGGAAGGCCAAATAAAGTGCTTTTGCTTTCTTTGCTTTCGACACAGCGTCTCCCTGACAGGGCTGCTTCAACACTAACTGCGGTTACCGAAACCACGCCTTCTTTCTTTGCGTGCACATTTGGGCCGCATTATGCAAATATTTCCACATAGTGAGGTAGATATGTGGGGGCGTGTTAGAACGAGCCGTTTTAGGGGGGCGTGGCAGAGTCTTAACTTTGATAAAGAATATCTCTTTGGTTTTGAGACTTTAGTCTTTGCAACTTCAGGGATCTTATCTATGCACAATCAGCTTGTAACACTCCAAAGAGAAAGGAAAACTTAAAATCGCATCATATGACCCCTTTAAAAAAAAAAATCGCTTTCTGGGGGGTTCCCCTGGTAAAATTCGCATTCCAGGGGCTAAATATCACATCATTGGGGTCCCTTTAACCCGCGGCAACTGTGTTAAAGTAGCCCGATTCTGCGGGAAAACCGCGGACCTGGCAACACTGGTTCCAGATGTCAAAATAACAAAGCCGAGATGACAGTGACTGCGTCTGAGTCTTTGTCTGACCAAACACCCATATGCTTAAACCTTATTCTTATCAGTCATTTTAACCAAAAATTGGTAATCTAGTTTTTTTTAAATTTGATATCGCTTGTCTGGCTTGCCACAATTAATTAATACTCCTCCTGGCATTTTTTTCTAATTGTGGAATCTGGCCAGATCGGACATTTTTAAAACAACTTTTATCCTGCCGTCTTCCATTGTTTGGAAGCGTCCCCATGGGACATATAGCCTACCAAACTTGTTTGTGTTGCATCTGTCATAAGTTTAAGTTCACTGCTGAAAACACCTGTACCACACACTGAAGGCACCTGAGACTCAGTCTGTATTGAGACATCCAATATTGGAACAATCATTGAAATAATCATCATATTGATTAGTCTTATCGATTATTGCTATAGTCAGACATCATATTTTAAGTAAAAAAAAACACAACAGTTTCACTTGTGACAACTTGCCCCATAGAGTTTGAGAACATACTTCACATCATAAAAGTTCACAATCCTGAGAGTTTGAGAAGTAGTACATGCAACTTTGTGCAATTTCAACAGAATGTGATTTATTTGGTTTTTAGCCTTTTAAATGATTAACTAGCCTGATTCACCGGTAAATAGTCATTTTTCAGGATTGATGCTGCTGCTGAATCGGCAGAATCTTTTTCAATGATACATTGAAAAAGCAAAACATTACATACTACATCTGAATTGCATTTATGCTTTGCTAACAGGTTGTAAAACGTAATCTGCTTGAGAGAACTAATTTGTGAACAAGTCACCATTTCCATTCTGTCAATTCTGTAATCCATTCAAGCCTCTGCTGGACTGTGAAATGTGTTTTTCCTTTCAGAAACTCCTGTGTTTGTGTTTGCAGGCAACATTTCCCTGGTAACGGCGTCCAGCTACAGCCCAGCCACCAAGATCACACTAGGAATGGTCAATTCCAATGTGGGAGCCCAGATGGTTAGTGTCACACAAACACACACAGTAGTGGTGCAACGGATCACAAAATTCACGGTTTGGATCATATACGGAATTTGAGTCACGGATCGGATCATTTTTTTGGATCAGCAAAAAAACAAAAAAAAAACCTTACTTTAAGTACTTCTATACCATAGCAAAACATACTACCGTATTGACCCGAATATAAGACGTTGTTTTTTTCTTGGAAATGCATCTGAAAAAACGCGGTCGTCTTATATTCAGGGTCTAGACTTTGACATGTCAATAATACACCCACAACAATAGGTGGCGCCAAATACGCATAAAACGAGTGTGCCATGAAATACGTAAT